TGATAACATTAAGTTCTTGCATCTTTGCTGAGGAAAATCCACAGACCGATGCAGTTGTATGGATGAAAGCCCATATGTATGAAGTCAACCATAGCCAGCCTGTCACATTACACTCACTAGGGAGAGAAAATGTCTATGCTGAAATAGACATGGAAGCTAAAAGGTGGTGATGTCATTCCAGAAGCAAAGCTACAGTGGTAAATTGTTAAATGGGTTTTATTGTAACAAAATGGAGAAAAGATATTCTCTGCAAGGATAAATGCAGAGTTTCAGCAACACAAAAACAATCATGTACCAATAGCGATTATTGTTCTTGTAACATAACGAGTAGAGCCTATAGCATATACAAGACCCTAAAATGCCGCAAGTCATCAGAGAGCCATCTCAAACTACCAATGTAATCCAGACTCACACTCGAAATGTTCCTAAATTACCCTCATTCCCGTTTCCCAACCAGGTTGATTGCGTTTCAGATAACCCCCGAGAGTTGAGCTCGTTAAGTACATCAAACACCTTATCTACCTGATACATACAGGTATCACGTAGATGCAGGTTTGCTGACACCAGACAAACATTCAGTGACCTATCACCGAGAACCTCCAGCAGGTCCAAGCACCACCCCCTCGTCAAGCCTGAGTCAACAGAACCCAGGTACTTCCTGCTCCAACTGAAACCTGTACTAACTGACCAGCCATTCCACTGACAAATTTTCATGATAAACATCCTCAATCCAGTATGCAGGTGTTTTTCAGGAAGATGGGCCTGGCATGTTTGTATTTGTGGACATTTTTCTGTATCTGCATCAGGACATGATGCTGCTAGCAGATGTGAAGCAAATGTCAGAACAGCTGCGGAAACGTTCCTTGTTTTACTCATGCTACACAATGTCAACAGTGTTGATGTACTTAACTACCTATCTGCAGTACAAGTTTGAATAAACACTGATGGATGAGAAGTGAGCACGGTTTTACGCAGCTTTTAAAAACATTCCGGCAAAATCACAGTGGGGGGGGGGGACACCAGAAATGAGGTTCACACAGTGTACCCATTTGGGGAATTGAACCCGATTCTTTGGCAAGATGAGTCAATGCTTTAATTACACGGCTAATAAACACTGAAAAAGAAGAGTAGAAGACTTAACATAAAACAATTATACAGAATTTGGATCTATCACTTAGTGAGTGAGTATGGTTTTATGCCACCTTAAGCATTATTCCAGCAATCTCACGGCGGGGGACACCAGAAATGGGCTTCACACATTGTACCCTGTGGGGAACCAAACCCGGGTCTTTAGCGTGACAATGGATTACCTTAACCACTAGGCTAAACAATCACTGAACCTGACCAGTCAATCTATCAAATCATTCCTTGGGACAGGCAAGAAGCTGAGGGGGACCTGTTCTGACAAGGAGTCCCCACTGGTGATTAAACAGTTGAAATGTTTTTTATGTTAAATTGTTTCATATGTTAAAATGTTTTCTGGGCAGATTTACTATCCATGTACATTATCTACAAATTTCATAATATTGATCTCATTATTATTATTCTAATTCTTATTTCTCGATACTGACTGACTGACTGAGTTTGGTTTTACGCCGCTTTTAGCAATATTCCAGCAACATCATGGCGGGGGACACCAGAAATGGGCTTCACACATTGTGCCCATGTGGGTATTTCTCGATAAATATGGTGGTAAAAATGATCCCCTTATTTATCACATCTATCACAATCGCTTGTTGTCTCAGAATTAATTATGCTGATCAAATGTTCATACATAAATTGTCCATCTAGAAGGGGCTACCCAGCAATCAAGCAAAAACTATGAAGACATTTTAAACACACAGTGAGTCTGGTTCCCCTGAAACTATTTACCGTTCCCCTTTCAAATAACGTACCGTTATAGTTGATATAAAAACAATACCTTTTGTTCTCTTATGATATTTGGTTCTCATCAAAATATACAATCTCCCTGAAACCACTGACCCTTCCAATTCATACAACATACTCGTAAACTTCAAACAATGAACTTTCTTTCCCATACAAAACCACATTTAATCCCCTAAACAAATTGAAAACAAACACTGCAAACTTAAAAAACATAATATTCACCAATCCGTAGGGCTGCGCAATATAACCGGTTTACCGGTTCAGACACGGAAACGATACGTATTGCGATACGCTGATCGAAAACCGGTATTTTGACATGCATTCGAAAAACTTCGTAACACTCGGAAATCTTCGGATATTTCCGTTTTTTAAATTGTTCCTTTCCTTGTTTCATTTGTGCCAAACATTATTTACATTTATATTTTGCCATGATTAAAAGTTTTCTTAAAGCCTGATTTTGTTGTGTTTTTGCTTTACAAATCAAGCATTAACTCGATTATAAGTATTTTTTTTGTTAAAAATACTTCTTGCAATATATTGCAATACATATCGCAATACATGATTTCGCATCGCAATTTATCGCAATACGAAAATTCCCTGCAATACCCACCCCTACCAATACACACCAAGTCATCATTTGTACCCTAATGCCCCTCAAACAACCATTAACTTCCCTCACAACCCCGATACTCCCATGGGCATCAATCTAACTACCCCCCTCAATCATTAATGTCCCTGCCCCCACACTCCATTGCCACCCCTGGTCATCACATATGCTACAAGTAATCTCCTAACAATCATGATCAGCGTCACCAAGGTGACCACACCAATATGTGATATAACAGCCATATCCATTGTCCGTGGATCATAATTGGCTTGGATGTTCAATTTGTGACAGTCAAATAGCCAGCTAGCATATGCATTACAGATTTAAACATGCATAATATCACCCCAAATAGATTTCCAATAGTCACGATTTCAAGTAAATATCACTGTGCGGTCATTAGGACTTCTGCTGGGAAGGTCGAAGATCTATATATAATGACCACTGTGGTGACAAGATATAGGCAGCAGAAGATCTTGACAAGTGTCACATGATCTTGATGGATATCCTCTCAGCATTAATCAGACTGTTGTATAAAAAGTCTTCAAGATCACATATGAGTTAATAGGATTAAATTCTGTCATACTGAAGATTGATGACTGGTGAAATATAATTATAGTTTTAAAGATTCATTCCTGTATCATTCCAATTATATATCCCGTTTTTATTACAAAGCGGACGATAGCCCGATGTACACGAGACAGTAATTTGTTGCGAGGCGGCCATTACCCTGTCACTGTGAATAGTGACAAATAGTACTTCAACAACTTGTTTTAGAAGTTGGGACGTACAATATTGAACAAACATTACGGATAACAACTTCTTTATTTAGTGAGTGCGACGTCATTCCTGACTGACTTCGGTACAAGAATCTGTATAGAAATGTCGCAGTCACGAAATAGCTTTATAACAAGTGCTTCAACAAGGCAGCAGCAACACTTTGGAACAAGCTTCCACCAAGTCTGAGAGAGGCTGCAACAATCAACACCTTCAGAAAAGGACTCAAAGCACATCTCTTTGACATTGCCTATGTTCAATGATGTGTTTATCTTGTGAAGCGCCTTAGAGTGATCTAGTGATCAAATAGGGCACTATAGAAATGTGCCATATTATTATTATTATTATTTACGCAGCACTCTGCAATATTCCAGCTTTATGGCGGCGGTCTGTAAATAATCGAGTCTGGACCAGACAATCCAGTGATCCAGTCACAATATAAAGAAGTTGTCATCCATAAAGTTTGTTCAGTGTATTACTTCAATGTATTACTTCAATGTATTACTTCAATGTATTACTTCAATGTATTACTTAGGACGGCTTATTATTCAATCTGTATATGTAAACACATACTCCATCTCAACCCAGTATCGCTGAAACCTGCCAATGTGACATCATATTATAACTTATTCTATCCTACCCTCAACAATAAATCAGGGGATATACAGCCCTCAAATAAAAGGCCTCGATGGCATGCACTCAATTTTCCCAGAGGCCTCCACCTAAGGGTCCTTAAGGTCTCAACAAGCTCTATGATTCAACCCCAAGGCCTCTGTTCAAGGACATATATTACATCCAATTAGAGACTCTTGGGCCTCTACCCAGGGAACTCCACTCAAGGAACTCCTTGGACTCAAGTTAATATCCTTTTGGGCCTAAATCTGAAGAGCCTTAACTCAAGGGCCTCCTGAGTCTCTACACGGAGGTTTCAACTGATCAGCCTCTACTCAAGGGCCTCCATTCAGGGGCATCTGTTGAAGGCCCACCTAAACCTCTTGGCTCTAACTTTCGATTCAATGGCCTCTGAGCTTTCTGAGTCCTCCACTCAGTGTCCGCCAAGGTTTCTATAATGGGGCCTCTACTGAGGGGCCCTCAATTCGGGTGCCTCAACTAAGGGCCCTCTACCCAGGAGTCTCCTGGGCATCTATTTAGGGGCTTCTTTCCCGTCCAAAGGGGACCAGCTTCTTCTCATGCAAGATGTACAGTAACACAAATGGGGAGTAGTACAGTGACACGTAGTTGGCAACGTAGAGAAAAGCTGAAAGATGTATGGTGAGGGGAGGTGAAATTGGGTTTAACATCGTGCTTGAGAATATTTCGCTCCTATGACAACGTGCATGCGTGTGTATGTGTATGTGCGGCTGCGTGTACTAGCCCAGACTTAAGCTGGTTTTATAGTGCTAGCCCACTGAGATACCATGCCGCAATGTAGCATGAATACCCCACTCAGACACATTATACTGACTCCGAGCCGACCAGTCCTTGTTGTACCCATTAATGCCGAGTGCCAGGCAGGGACCAACAAGTACCATATTTTAACGTCTTTTGGTATGACGCGGTCAGGGATCGAACCCACGACCTTCCGCTCTCCAGGCGGACGCTCTAACCACTACACGGAGGCGGTCGAAAGATATATGGTGAGATCCCTGGTGAAGTCTACAGTGAAATGAATGGATAAGGTGAGAAGTCAGCATAATATGTGGTGACATTCAGCAATAGTTCCCCTACCTACCTTCAAACGCTGGTGCATGCAAAACTTGCAGACTTGGTGCTTGATGGAGGTGCGATCTATAGCAACAGGACTTGGTATGAAAGCCTTCTTGGGCTGAAATGTTCAGGAGTTCATATTTTATAACAATATAATCTTTTCCTTCTCCATAAATGAATAAACATAAATAATTCAGCTATAGCAATATATCCTTTATCTTACAGTATTTGTAATAATACAATTAGGGTCTCTCTTGATTTCAGCTGAAGTCTATATTGATGGTATACCTTGATCTCTATGCTTATAGTCGGCTGTGACTCCTCCAGTTCCACAGGAATGCTGTCTCTATTGGACACAAAACAGAAGTCTGGCATAACCAGGGCTGACCTTGACCTGACATCCACAAGGTCAACCGATTTCTTCCTACGACTGGCTGTAAAAAATGTGAACATTCTTAGTCATACTTAGTCATCAAAATCATCAACACTAATCACAAGTGAAAAGGAGAATTAAAGTTGTGAAAGAAAAAAAGTTCAGTATCATTACAAATATTCAAACATTCCAAGAGTAATTGATTCAATCTAAATCCTCTTTCCTACCTGGTCTCATATCTTGATTGGTTTTCTCTGCCTCCTCAGCAAAGCCTTCTGAGATTTCGGCAACTACCTGAAAACAAAAGGATTTCATGTTAGGTCCACAAACTTTAAACATACTGACAAGACCATTAAACAATGATCAGCACTCCATGTTGCCTATGCCTATTATTATCAATGTTCAGTGTGTGGTGTATGTTGCAGGGATTTACCTTGAGTCCTGTATTTGAGGGTCCCTGGGACTCATGCTTTTAATTTTCAGGGGGTCCTGGACAACAAAATGGAGGTCCCAGACACTTAAATATTATTACTAATACATTTACTGTATTTTGTATCATGATCATCACATTGTTACAGTAATGAAATTGCAAATGATACCATAACTCAGCTAGTAGCAAACTCAAGGATAACTTACTGTTACTTGATTGGAATTTTTACAAAAATATTTGGACATTTTCTGCGTCCCTGTGGATGCGCTAATAAATTTTGTTGCGTCCATTGTCAATTTTTATGAGTATAGGAAGCAGAAATTCGCGTCCTGTAAATCCCTGATGTTGAAAAACTGTTTGATTCAGGTTCTAACAAATTGAGGTTACGGCCTTGATGATCATAAGCCTATGTTAAAATATCGTGATACAATCACCAGGTTGAGATCATATAAGACTTCGAAATGTTTTGCATTTATAGAAGTACACGTGTGAAAACTAATATGGAATCTTTCTTAATCAGCTCAGCAGATCAATAAAACTAAACACATTAGCCAACAATAGTTACTCCAGACTGATTATTCATACAGATACAAAATCAAAATACGAAATCAGTATCACCACATTGAAATGTGTAGCATAAATCCCTCCCTCTCTATTATCAGCCAATCAGAAAACAGTTGTCACAGGTGAGCGTGGTTTACTCTATTTTTCAGGTTTAAGGAATAGAAAACAGAAAAAGATTTGCTTAAAAAATGCCATGAATTTTTTACAATTCTTTTATTCTCACATATTGGGACCTTCACCCCGAGACCAGCATCTAAGGGGCAGCACATGGTCGATGAATGAATGAGTAGGAGTTTAAATTGTTTCAACAATAGTCCGGTCACAGGTGGACAGGGACAACAACAATGAGCTGCCTACCCTTGTTGGGAATAGCAGCTAAACAGATTGGTTCAACGCATCATTTACACTATCAATTATATGATAACATTGCAACCTTTTAGTATTCAATATGCTGTTTATTCAATATCATCAAATGACAGATTGATCAACTGCTCAGAGTAGGTGTTACTGTTATTGACCAAACAGTGGGTTCTATCAACACAAGGACCACATTAATGGAGCCAATGATTGTTCAGTGATGTTGATGTCAAGTAAGTGAGTGAGTGAGTGAGTGAGTGAGTGAGTGAGTGAGTGAGTGAGTGAGTGAGTGAGTGAGTGAGTGAGTGAGTGAGTGAGTGAGTGAGTGAGTGAGTGAGTGAGTGAGGAGGAGGAGTGAGTGAGTGAGTGAGTGAGTGAGTGAGTGAGTGAGTGAGTGAGTGAGTGAGTGAGTGAGTGAGTGAGTGAGTGAGTGAGTGAGTGAGTGAGTGAGTGAGTGAGTGAGTGAGTGAGTGAGTGAGTGAGTGAGTGAGTGAGTGAGTGAGTGAGTGAGTGAGTGAGTGAGTGAGTGAGTGAGTGAGTGAGTGAGTGAGTGAGTGAGTCTTTTATCTTCCAGCAATATCATGGCTGGGGACACCAGAATTGGGCTTCCCATGTAAGAAATAGAACCCATGCCTTTGATGTGACAAGAAAATGCCTTAATCAATAGCCTATTCAAAATGAATGACAAAAACAATGGAAAGACAGAAGTGACCTTTGTCCCACATCGCAAACTCTCCTGTATCTAGGACTACGAAAGAGCAACTTACACATGATGGCAAATAAACAGGAATAACTTAGCTCTGGCACTATGCGGCACCAAAAGAGTAATTGACAACACATGTAGACAATAGCACGTACAATCACTGCCAAACATTTTAGCCCAAAAAATATCAGGAAATCATATCACAATACACTCCAATATACTGCAGTCCAATTTTTTGGCCAAAATAACAATACAGAACTGTAAGTCATCTCTTGTGTCACTAAAAATAGTAGACAGTCATTTTATTCTTTAAAAAACATATTATTTAAAATATCAATCTAATAAACAACAAGAATTGTCACTAAGGTGACATAATCCCCCGCCGCAAATTATCAAATCAAACTTATATAGTAATGAAAGTTTAAGATGAAGTTCAATGTCAACAAAAACATGACCAGTCAACCTCTCTTGATATCTTGCTCTTTAGTTGTTCAAACACACAAATATTTTCAAGACTGACTTGGACCTTGACATGACTGACTGACTGAGTTTGGTTTTACGCCGCTTTTAGCAATATTCCAGCAACATCACGGCGGGGGACACCAGAAATGGGCTTCACACATTGTGCCCATGTGGGGATTCGAACCCGGGTCTTCGGCGTGAAGAGCCAACGCTTTAACCATTAAGCTACCCCACCGCCCCTGGACCTTGACATGAATGTCATAGTGTATGAAATATGCACAAATAGTACTAAAGAAATTGCTTATTGAAAAACATTCAAGGGAAGTCTTGAAAGTCTATGAAGAAAATCCAGTGAACCGTTTTTGAAATATCTTCCTGACAATTCAGGTTAACATGCTGAAATCTTCAAAGTGTCGTCGTGACCCTGAAAATTAAGTGAAGGTCACCAAAATTGGCCTTCCCTAGATGAAGCTTGGTGTCAAATATGAAGAAAATCCACTGAATATTTTTTGCGATATCTTGATGACTATCTTAACATGCAATTTAACATGCTGAAATGTTCAAAGTGTCTCTGTGACCTTGAAAATAAAGTGAAGGTCACCAAAATCGACTGGGCCATGCGCATTTCCTGGATGAAGCTTGGTGTCAAATATGAAAAACGTTCTGTGAATGGTTCTTGAGGTATCTCGCTGACAAGCATAACATGCAGGTAAATATGCTGAAATCTTCAAAATGTCTCTGTGACCTTGAAAATTAAGTGAAGGTCACCAAAATTGACTGGGCCCTGCGCCTTCCCTAGATAAAGCTTGGTGTTGAATATGAAGAAAATCCAGTGAACGGTTCTTGAGATAACTTAACAAGAGGGTTAACATACTGCAATCTTCAAAGTGTCGCCATGACCTTGAAAATTATGTGAAGGTCACCAAAATTGACTGGGCCCTGTACCTTCCCTAGATAACGCTTGGTGTTGAATATGAAGAAAATCCAGTGAACGGTTCTTGAGATAGCTTAACAAGAGGGTTAACATACTGAAATCTTCAAAGGGTCGCCATGACTTTGAAAACTATGTGAAGGTCACCACAATCGACTGGCCCCTGGCCCTTCCCTAGACAAAGCTTGGTATAGAATATGAAGAAAATCCAGTGAACAGTGCTTGAGATAGCTTAACATGCAGGTAAAACATTAAAGTCCCCTTGTCACCTTGAAATGAAGGTCAAGGTCACCAAACCTGACTTGGACGTTTCTTATACTGTGATGAACCTAGGTACCAAATATGAAAAGAATCTAGTCAACTGTTCTTAAGATATTCCAATTCGTACGTACGGACGGACAGACGGAGCCTAATACTATATCCCCCGCTTCGCACTAAACGCGCGGCAGGGGATAAAAATATATTAAATCATAAAGGACCTGAGAACAATTATTAAATTCCTAGAACAAAGGCAATTGTGACATGCCCAGTCATTCAGTCAGACTCCTTGTTGATATATTGTTGGGTTTTAGAGATGGATTATACAAACAGGACAGGCAGCCAAACAACATCTGTCACATCCTTCCTGACAGACGTGCATGCTGTTGGCACTTACAGGCGGTGTGACAAACTTCGGAGACAACAGAGGCTGCATTACGTTGGTAACATAGTCGACAATCTTCCTCATCTCCATCACGATGTGATCACAGCAAGGCTGAAACACGGACATAGCAACAGATTAAACAGATTAGTGGCCCGAAAAAATTAGATGAAATTTCTGAGAAAGGCAGTTACAGGTTACTAAATGGAATTAAGTATTTGTCGGAATTTGATTGGATAGTGAGGTAAAAATGGCGGAACAACAAATGATGGCCAACACTGTCTTTGGGTATGGTGATCGTGATTTGGGTTTAACATCTCACTCAGCCATATTGAGGTGAGGTGAGGTGAAATTGGGTTTTACATCGTGCTTGAGAATATTTCGCTCATATGACGACGTGCATGCGAGTGTATGCGTATGTGCGGCTGCTTGTACTAGCCCAGACTTAAGCTGGTTTTATAGTGCTAGCCCACTGAGATACCATGCCGCAGTGAAGCATGAATACCCCAATCAGACACATTATACTGACTCCGAGCCGACCAGTCCTTGTTGTACCCATTAATGCCGAGCACCAAGCAGGGACCAACAAGTACCATATTTTAACGTCTTTTGGTATGACGCGGTCGGGGATCGAACCCGTGACCTTCCGCTCTCCGGGCGGACACTCTAACTACTACACCACGGAGGCGGTTTCAGCCATATTGAAGTCACATGATAATGAAGGTAGCCTGTGAATTATCAAGTCTGGATCCAACACACCAGGTTAAATAGTTGGTTGGTTGTTTAACACTGCACTTAGCAATATTCCAGCTATAAGGTGGCAATCAAGTGTCGTCCAGACAATCCAGTGATCAACAGCATGAGCATCGATCTATTAAATTGGGATCAGATGACATGTGTCAACCAAGTCAGCAAGCCTGAACCTGATCTTGTTAGTCATCTCTTAGGACAAGCATGAGTTGCTGAAGATCAGTTCTAACCCAGATCTTCACGGGTATCAAACAAACCAGGGATTGATATAATGAACATAGATCAATTCACAAAACAAGCATAGGTTGCAAAGTACCAACATGACCCAGACCTTCCAAGTGGGTCAGATACCATGGATACCGTCATACGATGACGAGGTATGAATAACTGCATGAATGAACAGATGCTGTAGTCTGCACTATATCTGTGCCCTATCATTGTGGAATAATAAATATTAATAAATAACTCTTTCCCGAGAAGGTCACTCAATAAACAGTTTGTTTGGTTGGTCATTAGTATGGGAGTGAGTAGGTGGAACAGTTATGTGTAATGTATGTTGTCAATGCTTTGTTGTTTAATGCATGTTATTATATGACAGCAGTGTGCATATCATGAAATCTGGACCAGAAAATCAGGTGATTGACATCATGAGCGAAGAATGAGTGAGTGAGTTGGGTCTACGCTCATTTTAGCAATATTCCAGCAACATCACGACGGGGAACACCAGAAATGGGCTTCACACATTGTACCCATGTAGGGAATCGAACCCGGGCCTTCAGCGTGACGAGCGAACGCTTTAACCACTAGGCTACCTCACCGCCCCCAATAGCAAAGATACAATCATGTAAAGTCTTCAACTTACAGAGGTTCAGTCTCCGATCTCACAAATTATATATTTTCAGAGATTAAGCAAGTCTGACCATCCAATCCCATTTGTCACCTTTTGCAAAATAAATTCTAACCCAGATCTTCACAGGCGATGTAACTTGGAGAAACGATCACCACTGAGATTAAAGAAATCGAGTCCAAATCATGAAACTAGTGGTTGAATATATAAGGGTAAATTGAAATGCTGAACAATATCAGCCCAGTCGGTCAGATACCATAGGAAGGACACTCGCTTCATAAACTCGCTTCGCATAATTCATATGTAATGAGACCTCGTGTAGTATTCTCTATATACTGAACATCATTGAAAATGCACCACTTATAAAAGTTCAGATTATTAAAAGCATGTGTAAGGAATTGATATTTTTTGAGTGGATAATAACAGATGGACGACTGACAAAAACAACAACACAGAAAAGACGCTCATTCATTGAAATGTTCCAGTCAGAAAGGATCAAACACACGTGGGGTCAAATCGAAAAGTCAATATCGTGGGTGACCGCCATTTGCATTGATACATGCAGTTCAACGTCTCCTCATTGAGTCAATAAGCGTCCGAATAGAGTTCTTGAGGATGGCATTCTACTTCTGCAGTAGTGCAGCCTCAAGTTCCCGGATGTTTCGCATCTGTTGTTGCCTCGAAAGACTTTGACCAATTTTGTCCCACAAGTGCTCCATGAGGGATACATCTGGCGACTGTGCTGGCCAATGAATAACCTGGATGGTCTTGTTGTCTTGTTGTGTGTGCCCATGCGTTGTCCTGTTGAAAAGCATGGACATCTTGGTGGTGACTGAAGACAGATACGATGTGATTCTGAAGAATCTGCTCACGGTAATAAAGAGCATTAACTTTCCCTTGACAGACATGAAGGCAGTCCTGTGATTGTAATTTATTCCATCCCAGACAATGACACTCCCACAACCCAAAGGTCTGTCTGAACCACACACTCATCAGCATAACGTTCACCACGTCTACGCCAAACACGTGATCGGCCGTCAGCATTATGTAGATGAAGATGTGACTCGTCAGTGAGTACAACACCATGCCATTGTAACCATTACTGAAAATGCCTGCTAGCCCATTGTATACGCTTATTACGGTGTCTGTCAGTCAGAATTGGTCCAACGTAAGGACGTCGAGCATGGAGCCCTGTAGCGTGTAGTAGGCGTCGCAAGGAGTCAGCGCTGATGACCCCTAAGTCAACCTTGAACTAGAGCAGCAGTCCTGGCAGTCGGCAGTGTTCAATCACTGATATGGACAAGGTCAATATGGCGATCCTGATGGAGCATCATAACACGTTGTTGCCAAGGTCATTGAAGGTCACGGGTGCTGCCTGTCTACTGATGTCGTCTATGAAGCCTAACGATGGTGGAGTGGCCAAGTCCAAGTTGTCGAGCAATATCCCTGCTGCTGGTACCAACCTGAATCATGCCTAGTGCACGTTCTCTTTCGTGAGGTGTTAACCTCGGCATCTCTGTCCTCGTTTCACAATCGTTAGTGAAGCAATGAGAATCGGTTCTCATAAGCCCGCTTTTAATGTCACAGTCAGTATGATTTCAGAATGAAATTCGTGCTTTTTTCATGGCGTGGCTGCATGTTGATGCATTTTGGAATAAAGAGTCATACTGTGGACAGGAATTTGTTTCTAAAGCATTTTTTCAACTGGACATGCCCTTCGACTTCATGTTAGTTATATTCATTGATCATTGTCATGCTGAAATCCATCTTTATGAAAATATGGACAATTTTAGACTGGTGCGGTAGAGTTATCTACAAACGTTTTTGGGCGGTGGGGTAGCCTAGTGGTTAAAGCATTGGCTCGTCACGCCGAAGACCCGGGTTCGAATCCCCACATGGGTACAATGAGTGAAGCCCATTTCTGGTGTCCCCCGCCGTGATATTGCTGGAATATTGCTGAAAGCGTCGTAAAACCAAATTCAGTCAGTCAGTCAGTCTTACTAGCTATGAGTAGTGTTGGGAATTGGTTAAAATCTCATAATTGATGATTGGTTCATTACAACCGATCAATCATCGAAAATAGTTGGTTAGCGTCATTTATCAAATTTTCCAGGTTATGTTTGTTAATGCACAAAAAATAGAGAGAAAAACATGTAGTTCTTTCGATTTTTTTGCAAATTGAACAAAATGCATATGCAAATTTTACATCTTTAAAGGATTTTAGGAACATAAATTTCCTGGAGTCTTTAAGATAAATTCGATCATGATTTGGAACAGGCTGGTAGTGCTTATGAAATGTAAATTTAATGACACAGACAAAACCAACCTTGTGATAAATATTGTTAAAGCAAACAAGTGTTCCAAAATTGTTTGTGTTCGATTATGAGTGAACATAATCGATTGCTTGATAGTTTAGTCATTGCGACCAATCTTCGATTATTTCAATTAATCGGACCACGAGTAAGAGCTTTTCGTGGCAAACAGCTTACAGGGTCATAACTAAGTCAGATGATGCATCATTTTCAAGCAATCAGGACTGTTTTGTTGTTTAACGCCCCACTCAGCAACAATCATGAAATCATGAACACCAATGACATCAATGGGATATGATGACACGTGTCAACTAAGTCAGTGAGTCTGACACCCTGATCCTGTTAGCTATGCCTTATGTCAAGCATGGGTTGCTGAAGATCAGTTCGAACGCAGATCTTTACTGGTTTAATCAGAACTGTAAATTTATGTACTACTACGCCACATTGTTAATTTCTGAAACATACCACTACTTTTTGCAGTTCATCACTACTCTATCTCATAAAAAAGACATTGTAATAAATTTGATGTACATCAGAAGAAAAATAGATCCCAAAATCGATTTATTACAAACACCTGATCTGTCTGTAACTCAGTATGGCAAACTGTAGCCAATCAAGTTACTGAACACACATACAGAAAGTACTGCCACAGAAAACCAGACCCAACATAGATGCTAATTCCCTTTTATACAGAACACAGCACCAGACAGATTAACATACATGGTCCACTGTATCAGTGTATGTATCAGCATATATTCATGGGCTGTTGTGAGAGTCTTGTTTCTTACACAAATGTTGGTGAGAAACCTATGTGAGATAACTGGTATCAGTGTATGCGTGAGATCGAATTCCAGGTTCGTGATTGGCTAATCCATAGTGATGACCTCTGGTCAGATTATGTCAGACTACTTTCCTGACGGTAATATATTTATGAATTGGTTGTGCTTTGGGTGAACTCCCTTACATCAGTGTAGCAAGTACATGGATTAGAGAGTTGAGTAATGTTCTTAGGTCTAATCTCATTATAATGATCATCTTGGCAATGATAATTCACAGGATGACAGAAACATTTGTGACGATGGTTACATTAGGTATGAGTTGTGAGCAGTGAGCAGTAAGCAGGATGATGTCACAAATAGCCGTTTTGTTATGTATTACTGCGCCACTGTGATCATCATGAGGACACACAAAATATATGTGTCACAGGTTCAATTGTTCATACAATGTATAGCATTAAGGCCACCAGACTGAATGATGAAATATTTGTATAATTCCCAATTTCATTTCAGGAATTATTCTTTTAAGACATGTAATAATGTTTGAAGTTTCTATTGTATTTCAGATGTTATATAATGTCGAGGACGACATTTTCCTGAGGAGGGGAAGGTGTCACAGGTTCAATTGTTCATACAATGTATAGCACAGCATCTCTGGCACATTTCACAATTTTTGTCCCTAACAGCTTGCCATACAGATGAGCTGGCTGCCGGCAGGTACATCCTGGGCTCTGGCACATGCTGCTCCTGCAGTCTGTGCACTCGGGAGATATAAAAGCTGCATGTGCCATGTGCCCGGCACACACCATGCTGGCAGTGGCAGCCCTCTATGTAATTTCCCTAATTAAAGGTACGCAAGTTTGTTTGAATTGTTCATATTAAAACAATTTCTCATAGTTAAGTCAGGTGTAACCCTGTATTCAAATAATTATATTTAATAATGGTCTAGTAACCATTAACTTTCATAATTATTTATATCTAATAATTATGTAAAATGTCACAATAGTTTTACTTGTCGTATTGATTTATAAAGACATACCATGCTGGCAGTGGCAGCCCTCTATGTAATTTCCCTAATTACAGGTTTATGGCACGGTTGTGTTTGACAAACCCCAAATGGCAAATGGCATAATAAAGAGATTGAACACCAGCCCAGTGGTCGTGTTATAAAACCCTGCGACATATGTCAATTCGATGATAAATTGGAGCAATGTTTAGGTACCAACATTTTTTTTACTGCACTCGTACATGTCAGATATTATTTATCTTACAGATCTTTATGGCGGAAGGTTTCCAAACAATTCGTAAGTTAAATGGTATTTGACATGCACTTGCCGTGTAGTAATCTCTATGCATTAAACTGCCACCACATATGAAGGTGTAATCGATAAGGACTAAGAAAAAATACCTCTGAGGAGTCCAAAGGGTAGAGAGTTTCCATGGCTTGTGTGAAATAGGTTTTCACCAACCGGTACACCTGGTGGGTCTGGAAAATAAACATTCATCAGAAATACCAGGGTAATTGTTGTCATTTAGATCAATTTGTTCATATTTTTAGAATACTGAACATCAACAGAATAACTGATTAATATCGTTTAATGCTGTTTACAAAACCAAACCTAAACAGATGAACTCACCAAACACTTAGCTGAAAGGTGTTAATAACACTATGTTTTTTACTGCATAGGGAAGCACTTGAATCATCAACAAAGTGAGTTTGTCATGAACCTCGAAACACAGGTTTTATTTGTCAACTTTGTAGTTTTATCCTGCAGCAGCCAGTAAATACTGACTTCAGAGTCGGAGTGATCATTGTTTCACAGATTTCGTCATAAGCGCAATATCTTAACACTGACATACTTTAGACAGTTACTTAACCCACAAATGCAAAGAAATAAGATGTGATTCATTTTTGTGTTTTTTCCATCTTTAGACCTTATTCGGTGATGCATGATGATTCATACCATGGTGACAGATTTCGAAATGCCAGTGTGCAATACTCAGCTGCACCGACCAAGAGTTACACGTGACCGACCGTTAAATCTTCATGACATAGCCCCAAACCAAAACAATATCATCGATTATCCAATTTTAGTTTACCTCAGGATCTGCGACAACAAGGCTACAGTTTCCTTCACCCCTATATTTCCATTCGGCATTTTCGTGCATGGAGCGCGCCATCTTGGATTTCTGTTTTGAGTCTCCACAATTGAAGAGTTCCACCAGCTGGGCCGATATGAGCTATCTTTATTCTGGTAAGGCTCATGGATAGACTGAACATGTACAAACACATGCAATGAATTTAATTATTAGCATCAAAGGCAAGCATCTAATTAAATGAGTGTTGAAAGAGACAAATTTTGTGTATGGTTTTGCAAGAAGCGTGGAATTTCATGAACGCATTAAAAAAAATAAAATTATCATTTACATTATCTGAGGCAAAGTTTTGTGACCTTTTGTTTATATTCATGAAATGTCTAGTTATTTTTTTGTCCTTACTAAATAAGTGCAAAGTCCTGTGTATGAACATATTGTGCGTATTGACGTCAGGTCTGGACCTGTGGTCGACGGCATGAACCCGCCACCTAGATGTTAGATCAAGTCGTCATGGTTACTGTTGCATCCTCATATTTTACTTTCCCCTTCATCACTAGTAGCACGTGTACCCGATTTAGACCCTTTAGCAGGGCCGTAGTTAACTTTTCTTAACAGGGAGGAGCTGGGGCACTATCCACATTAGAAGAGTGTTATATCAATACTTCCATGTGAATTAGCGGTTGCGTTCAGCAGCACTTTTTTGCCGAAGGAGGCGACTGACGAGATGGTGTGGCCACTGACTTGGTTGCTCATGGTGTCAATCACTGGCATCATCATCATCATCATCATCATCATCATCATTCAGTAATAGGAACGCAAGTCCATTATACACTCATATTGCAGCAGCAGTAATAGTAGTAGTAGTAGTATGGTAGTAGTAGCAGAAGTAGCAGTAGTAGTTGTAGTTGTAGTAGTAGTAGTAGTAGTAGCAGCAGAAGTAGCAGTAGTAGTATAGTAGTAGTAGTATAGTAGTAGTTTAGTAGTAGTAGCAGTAGTAGTAGTATAGTAGTAGTAGTATACTAATAGTAGTAGTAGTAGTATACTAGTAGTGTGGTATAGTAGTAGTAGTAGTGATAGTAGTAGTGAGTAGTATACTATGGTAGTGAGTGGTAGTAGTATGGTAGTGGTAGTAGTAGTATGTAGTGGTATACTTATAGTGAGTAGTAGTGTAGTAGTGGTAGTGGTATAGTAGTGGTAGTGGTATGGTAGTGGTAGTGAGTGAGTATGTGGTAGTATGGTGGTAGTGGTATAATTATAAGTATAAGTATGGTAGTGGTAGTAGCAGAGTAGCAGTAGTGGTATAGTAGTGCTGGTATGGTGGTATATAGTAGTAGTGGTAGTGGTATAAGTATGGTAGTGTAGTAGTGGCAGAGTGGCAGTAGTGGTATGGTGGTGGTGGTGGTATGGTGGTGTGGTGGCAGAGTGGCAGTGGTGGTATAGTGGTAGTGGTATGGTATGGTGGTAGTGGTAGTATGGTAGTGGTATAGTAGTGGTATGGTGGTGGTGGTAGTGGTAATTATGGTAGTGTGTGGTGGTGGTATGCTACTGGTGGTGGTGGTAGTGGTGTAGTGAGTGGTAGTGGTATGGTAGTGGTATGGTAGTGGTGGTAGTGGTAGTAGTGGTAGTAGTAGTGGTGGTGGTAGTAGTGAGTGGTATGGTAGTGAGTAGTAGTGGCAGTATGGTGGTAGTGGTATATGATGGTAGTGGTATGGTAGTGTGAGTATGGTAGTGAGTATGGTAGTGGTGAGTATATAGTGAAAGTGAGTGGTATGGTAGCAGTGGTAGTATAGAATGAGTGAGTGAGTGAGGTGTAGTGGTAGTAGTGATAGTGAGTAGTAGTGTGGTATAGTGGTAGTGATGAGTGTGAGTGAGTAGTGTATAGTGAGTAGTATGTAGTGAGTATAGTGGTGAGTGGTAGTAGTAGTAGTGGTAGTGTGTATAGTGGTATAGTGGTGTAGTGGTATTATAGTAGTAGTAGTAGTATGATGAGTAGTAGTAGTGAGTAGTGGTATAGTGGTAATAGTATAGTAGTAGTAGTATGAGTAGTAGTGAGTAGTATAGTGAGTGAGTATAGTAGTAGTGGTATTAGTGAGTAGTGGTAGTATGTGAGTATAGTAGTAGTAGTAGTGAGTAGTATAGTAGTGGTATGGTAGTAGTGGTATAGTAGCAGTGGTAGTATAGTGGTAGTATAGTGGTAGTGAGTGGTGATATATGAGTAGTGGTATAGTAGTAGTAGTAGTAGTAGTATGGTAATAGTAGTGAGTAGTGAGTATGGTAGTAGCAGAGTAGTGTGTATGGTAGTATGTATAGTAGTGAGGTATGAGTAGTAGTGGTATACTAGTAGTAGTAGTGAGTAATTATAGTAGTAGTAGTAATAGTAGTAGTAGCAGTAGTAATTATAGTAGTAGTGGTATGTAGTAGTATGGTAGTGGTAGTAGTGAGTAGTGAGTAGTGAGTATGGTAGTGAGTAGTGGTATGGTAGTGATAGTGAGTAGTAGTGGTATGAGTAGTAGTGTGAGTAGTGGTGGTATAGTGGTAGTATGAGTAGCAGTGGTGGTATAGTAGTGAGTATGTAGTAGTAGTGTGATATGGTAATTAGTGGTGTGAGTAGCAGTGAGTGATTATGTAGTAGTGGTATGGTATAGTAGTAGTAGCAGTGAGGTAGTGGTATAGTAGTAGTGAGTAGTAGTAGTAGTAGTGGTATGGTAGTGGTATACTAGTGGTAGTAGTAGTATGTGGTATTGTAGTGGTACACTAGTGGTAGTAGTGTAGTGGTATAGTAGTAATGGTATAGTAGTGGTAGTGAGTAGTGGTAGTATATGGTAGTGGTATGTGAGTGAATTATGGTAGTAGTAGTAGGTGAGTAGTGGTAGTAGTAGTAATATAGTAGTAGTAGTAGTATAGTAGTAGTAGTATAGTAGTAGTAGTATAGTAGTAGTGGTAGTATGGTAGTGAGTGTGAGTAGTATGTAGTAGTAGTATTAGTAGTAGTAGTGTAGAGTAGTAGTATAGTAGTAGTGAGTGGTAGTATGGTAGTGGTATGGTAGTGGTAGTAGTGTAGTGAGTAGTAGTGTAGTAGTGATTAGTAGTGGCAGTGGTGTAGTATAGTAGTAGTAGTATGGTGGTAGTAAGTATAGTAGTGAGTATAGTAGTAGTAGTATAGTAGTGTAGTGGTAGTAGTAGTAGTAGTAGTAATTATAGTAGTATAGTAGTAATTATAGTAGTAGTAGTAGCAGTAGTAGTTATAGTAGTAGTGATGAGTATGGTAGTAGTAGTATACTAGTGAGTAGTAGTAGTAGTAGTAGTAGTGGTAGTGGTATAGTAGTAGTAGTAGTATAGTAGTAGTAGTAGTAGTATAGTAGTAGTAGTATAGTAGTAGTATAGTAGTGATAGTATAGTAGTAGTAGTGAGTAGTAGTAGTAGGTAGTAGTAGTAGTAGTAGTGAGTAGTAGTAGTAGTAGTAGTAGTAGTAGTATAGTAGTAGTGAATTATGGTAGTAGTAGTAGTAGTAGTAGTAGTAGTAGTATAGTAGTAGTAGTGGTAGTGGTAGTAGTGAGTAGTGTAGTGGTAGTAGTAGTAGTAGTGTAGTGAGTAGTAGTAGTAGTAGTATAGTGAGTAGTAGTAGTAGTAGTATAGTAGTGGTAGTGTAGTGTAGGTAGTGAAGTAGTAGTAGAGTAGTAGTAGTGAGTAGTATGAGTAGTAGGTAGTAGTAGTGGTATGGTAGTGTGTAGTAGTAGTATGTGGTATAGTAGTGGTAGTAGTGAGTATAGTAGTGAGTAGTAGTAGTAGTAATTAGTAGTAGTAGTATGTAGTAGTATGAGTAGTAGTAGTAATGTGGTAGTAGTAGTAGTAGTAGTAGTAATTAATTGTAGTAGTGGTAGTGGTAGTATAGTAGTGGTAGTAGTATTAGTAGTGGTAGTAGTAAGTAGTAGTAGTAGTATAGTAGTAGTAGTATAGTGTAGTAGTATAGTGAGTAGTAGTAGTATAGTAGTAGTAGTAGTAGTAGTAGTAGTAGTAGTGAGTAGTATGTAGTAGTAGTAGTATAGTGAGTGAGTAGTAGTAGTAGTGAGTAGTAGTGATAGTAGTATGAAGTAGAGTAGTAGTAGTAGTAGTGGTAGTGGTAGTGAGTAGTATAGTGTAGTAGTGGTATGGTAGCAGTAATAGTAGTAGTAGTAGTAGTAGTAGTAGTAGTAGTAGTAGTAGTAGTATTAGTAGTAGTAGTAGTATAGTAGTAGTAGTATAGTAGTAGTAGTATAGTAGTAGTAGTAGTAGTAGTAGTAGTAGTAGTATACTAGTAGTAGTAGTAGTAGTATAGTAGTAGTAGTAGTAGTAGTAGCCATAATTGTTATTGTTATATACTCATGCTAATAATGGTTGTCACCCCACCCCCAGCCTATTAATAAAATTGAAGGGGGTGACAACCATTATTGACATGAATATATCATGCTTGTATTATCTTATTAGATTATTGTTGTTATACTAACCACGCATAACCACGCCATCACAGGAGATACCATTCGTTACTTCTATTTTCAGTATCATTGCCTTCACCACCATAACATCACCATCGTCATCGCAACTTCGACCACTGCCGTGCCGTCATTCCTATCGTTTCACTGTTTATTGTTTCTAGTATCTTTCTTCTTTTAGCTGATGTACCGACATTAATAATAATCATAATCATAAGAGCCAAAAAGCTAACCCTCGAAGTACCCACAGGTCTGTCTGGAAGAGGAACAAAACAAACGCTTTAATCACTAAGCTACCCCCCTGTCCCTATAACCGGTGTGTGAGTGAGTGAGAAAGTGAGTGAGCGAGTGAGTGAGTTTAGTTTTACGCCGCAGTCAGCAATATTCCAGCTATATGGCGGCGGTCTGGACCAGACACTCTAGTGGTCTGGACCAGACACGGNTCTGCGTAATTAGGGAAGAGGAACAAGGAACAAACTAAAGTATGCGCCCACGTTACACAGCATCGATCGCGAGTGTGGATCTCGACGTATTACATGACAGATATTAAACTAGTTATCCCATTATACTGTACAGGCATACCTCAAGGAACTTCCTATATCAGTTGGTCCCCGAGCACCCGGCAGTGAGCGTGGTGAATCACGTGGTTCGTAAACGGAACAACATTCAACAA